CTATCTATCTATCTATCTATCTAATACACCCTTAATAGTCCCACAAAGGGGACATTTACATTCTGCGTTTGACCCATCCTTGTGTTGAACTGGTAAATGTACCATAATGTTTTGGAGGATTTCTTTAAAAATGCATTCCCTTTGAGAAAATGCATTCCCTTTGAGTCACTATATATCTGTTATTTTCATTTAATTAGCTTATTGTATTATTTTATTCAAGAAAAAGTGGTAGGGCGGGAATCTCAATTACCAATAAAAGGCTTTCATTTTTAAACGCTTTTCAAGTTGACATGCACAAATATAGTGGTCATAATGTTCTTAAAATATCAGTTCAGGTTTTCCTTTCACACTGATATCATATATTCCTCATTAGTGGAGTAAAGAAGCAACACATGGAAGTATTTATACATCCATAAAGTACTTGAGTTACTGTATTAGTTTGACTTCCAGTTTCATTTGTATTAATCTCCCGTTAGTGCACCTACTGGACATATTACATAATAGCGTTGTGGGAGGTAAAAATAGTTCACTGAGGATAATAGCAGCACAAACTCACTCTGAAATGGCCAAAGAACTACCATAACCTCCCAGAACCATTATCATGAGTTATATGCGAACAAAGGGATATAATGCACATCATTTACACTTTATTTAAGGTACTTTTGAGAACCTTTTATGTGTTTTATACCAGTAATTTCGCTGTTATTAAAAAATAAATCCAGCTTGCGGTTTACTTTAACTATCCATATATTTAATTTATTATATGTTTAAGGCCCTTTTGAATACTTAGATGTGTTTTATACCAGTAATTGTACTTTAATTACAATACAAATTAAAGTGGACAAGGCAACGGACAATTTTAGAAAAAGTAACCTGGTGCAAAAGCGTCATTTTTTGGGAGAAAGTAGGGGACAGGGGGTTGTAATATATGAAATGGCATTCAACATATGCGTTTAGAGAATACAATGATGGTTAGGGTTGAGGTCAGAGTAGATAAAGAAATTATGTCATAACGTGTTTAAAGTTACTCATCAATGCACGCAGGATTTTTCTTGTAAGCTATTATTTTGGCTTAGGAGAACGCGTTCATTCTTTACATGTTTTTGCATTTTAAGGTTTTTCTTATTGTGCAAATAAACCGTTCAAGTAATAGAGACAAAATCATCAAACACATTTAAAAAAAAATAGTTGAGGACATGACCCAAATGACACCCTTGTCCTGATGCATGCATACAATTTCAGGCAATTTAAAGGGAAGAAATGCTGTCAAGTTATCAGTGCATGCAGGATTTTGGGTCATTTCATAACGACAAGCTATTTCTCTCCCAAATGACACTTTGAAAACAGACCAAATCTTAAAAGCCTTCCCAAAAAAAAGTGTTGAGGACATGTCCCCAGTGTGAATGACACCTACATCCTGATGCATGCATGCAGCAGTATCTTCAATCACAGACAGATTGTAGATATGCAATAGTAAGAGAAGAGCTGCTTACCTGCACACATGTAGAACCAGAGAGTCCTTTGATCCGCTGCTGAACGAGTCTGCACATCACTGACAGCAAAACACCAGACTGAGGGTCTCTCTCTCTCTCTCTCTCTCTCTCTCTCTCTCTCTCTCTCTCTCTCTCTCTCTCTCTCTCTCTCGGGACTTGGCCCACCTCCTCAGAATAGCTCCGTTAAACTCTCGGTGATTCCGGAGGAGAATTACCCGGACGATGGTGCACACTGAACGGGGAAGCGTGCGAGCATCCTCCCCCCCTCCCCCCTCTCCTCGTCCTCTTATAACCCTGCAGACATCTTTACATGTCCTCCTATGTGCACAGATCCTGCATTGGTAGCTTTTCCTCCTCTAGCTCTCACGACCTGCTTTTATTCCGTGCTACCTCTCCGTGTTTCTGTCAGCTCTCTGCAGCCCCAAAAGTGTGTCATCATCCCGGGCAGCAGCACAGGAGGGTGAGACAGGAAATGCCTCCACAAAAAAATTAGAATATATAAATAAAAAACTGCGATGCTTTTTGGAAAATGAGTGCAAGGATTTAAAGTGAGGAAATCTCCACAGAGCTACAAGTCCAGGATGTTCACTGAGCTGCAGAGGTGGAAAGTACTTTTACTCAAGGCTATTTAAGTACAATTTTAAAACACTTAAAGGTCCCATGTCATGGCCATTTCTACTGATCATAATTCCATTGTTGAGGTCTACTAAAATAGATATATATTGTGCAATGTCCCAATCTCACATTTGTTTCTCCTCACATTTGTTTCTCATACAGCATCTCTGTATAGTATGTGTATTCACTCTGCCCTAAACGCCTTGTTGGAAATGACACCAGTAATGACAAGCTGATGAGAATGCTGCGTGGGGTGCTGGGGTGCTGCCGTGTTCGCGGGACGTTGCGCGGCTCGCTGCTGTGAGGAGGGGACAGTGTGAGCTGGCTTACTGGTGTGGTTTCCTGGTAGCTGCGTGGGATCTGCGAGACAGCGAGACATCGCGAAACGCAGCCTGAACTCAGCCTGAGCACCATGGACGCGGGAAGGGGGGGTGCTGAGGGGACTGCAGAAACCCCATCTGCGAGACTCCACTAGCACCCGCACCACCAAACGCGGCGCACCTACAGTGTAAGCACGCCACAGTTTCACCGCTGCGAGGCTCCACTAGCACCCCCCCCCCAGCGCGTCACAGTTTCGCCGCTGAGAGAGAGTGTGTGTGTGTGTGCGTGTGCGTGTGCGTGCGTGTGTGTGCGTGTGTGTGGCGAGCTCCACGGATTGGTCCATTTGGGTATGGTCCGGTCACCATACCCAGGAAGAAAAAGAGAAATTTCTGACGAGGGGTTTTGGGGCAGCATACACAGGTCTTTTCTGTGTCAGAGTTTTACTCGCCCCTTCATAACACACAAGGGGACGGGTAATAACCGGAAAAGCATGACATGGGACCTTTAAGTAGTTCCATTTTCTGCTACTTTTCCCTCCTCTTCTATACTTTTTTCCAAGCAAATGTACTCATCTACATTTACCAGACAGCTTTATTTACTTTACTTTTTACTTTATGTGCTAATTAATAAACTAATAAATACATATTGGCACGTAATTGTCTGTTACATATCCAGCAGCAGTGTGTAAAGGGGAATTGGCAATACAAATAGTGAGAAACAGCGCCCTCTACTGTTTGATCATGAGAGTGCATCCACACACAAGCAGCTGTAGTAATAATAAATATCTAAATAACATAATTATAATGTAATACAAATACAAATTTAGTAACAATATGCCTTTTCAAGCAGATGTCTTGATATGTATTTTTTATTAACTGTAATTTATCTTTTATTTATCACCTGCTTATATAATAAAACAATATATAGTTAACAATTGATTTTTTAGAAAGAAACACATTTCTGCAAACACTGTCTAATAGAACTATTTCAAATAATTTCAGAAGGGGAAATAGGTTTCCTAAGAGCAGATGTTTCACCTGATTTTAATTGTATTTTTGGTTTAAAGGGGACCTATCATGCAAAATGCACTTTTGTACGTCTTTTATACATGAATATGTGTCCCCGGTGTTCCAGGGAACTCACCAAGTGTCAGAAAACACAACCCTCTCTATTTTCCTCCATACCCAAATCTCTAAAAAAAAAGGGGCTGCAACGGATCTGATACAGACTGATCCAGATTTGAACACTGTCCTGACGTCATGACGGTGGCGCTACTGCTATTGGTCAATTCTCCACCTATCAGGAGAATGAGAGGTTGGGCCACGGCCGGCCATTGCTGCTCGAAAGCGCTGGAGACGCTGTAGTACATATGCCAGGCCTGTAAGTGGCGCTGTAGTCTGCCACAAAAGCAGTGAAAGAAGACTCTCCTTGCATGGTTGCCACGGTTGCCCTTCTGTTTATTCTCCGCTTTGGCTCTTTTTCTCCCTCCCCGAGGCAAGCGTTTGCACCTCCTGCTTTAAAACAAATGAATAATGACTCTATATAATCATATGTAAGGAATAATGTGCAGGGACGCGGTCATTATGGGGAAAAGAACACAGACAGGCCGATCAGGAGCCGACGCGAAGCAGAGGGATCTAGATCGGCATGAAGGTGTTCTTTTCCCCATAATGACCAAGTCGCTGCACATTAGGCTATCCCGCTTAAATTGACATGCATCCGCTAAGAAAAATAGTCCGTTGTTACTGTTTGAACTAACGTAGCAACGGCAGGAACTGCTTCGATAGCGTTTTTGAGGAGCTTTTTGATTACAGATTTGAAAACATTGTTGCTTGCTTTAAAAGTAGC